TGCGAATGAATATCATATTAATATAATCACGTATCATATGTAAGATCCAGAGCTCTCATTTTTCTCTTAACTAAATAGAATGTCTGCAGACGTGTGATATATAATTTACTAATTAAGGTCCACGAAATGAAAATTTCGTAATCGCGTGTTACGGCTGTGGAAGAAAACTCGATTTCAAACGACTACCTCTTTATAACTAATAATAGAAGCTATTCAGTTATCGTTATAATTTCTATCAGAACTTATTTCAGTTTAACGTTTATTATATTTTATATAATGTTTATCGTAAAGCACTGTCTATTTTACATTAATTAATGTTATATTTTTTTATGTAGGAATTTTAATGACTTTTTGGGACTGTGAGATTTTTTGCATTCTTTAATAGAAAATTTGTCAAAAATCATGAAAAAGACATCAAACATTGAAAAAAATTCCACCTCTTCTATTTGCCTAACCAAGCGATTATCAACAATCACCCTATCATCGCATGCAATTCCACTTTTTTTGTGATCTCACGAACGAACCGTAGAGATAAGAAAAGCGAGGCAAGTTAAAATTAAAACTGAAATCAAGGAAAACTCAAAGTTTTCCGTTTTCCTAACATAGAGATGGGCATCTAAATGCGCATGATCAAGTTTATTTAGGAGATTATCGGACAGATAAATCAATCGCCTTTCTGACCCTATACGGTTCAACGATCGGCCCTGCAGTCGCCATGAATGAGAACGATCCGCGATAATGCGAGTGACCCTTTTGCGATGTAGCGATGCGGCTCCTCGCACCACCGTAATCGACACCGCGGCGATCAAGGCCCCGCCCGGCAAGGGCTGTCCCCGCTGCGGTGGCGTCGTCTTTGCCGCCGAGCAGGTGCTCGCCAAGGGCCGCGAGTGGCACCGGAAGTGCTACAAGTGCCGCGACTGCACCAAGACCCTGGACTCGATCATCGCCTGCGACGGCCCGGACCGGGACGTTTACTGCAAGACCTGCTACGGGAAGAAGTGGGGACCGCACGGATACGGATTCGCATGTGGCTCGGGATTCCTCCAGACCGACGGGCTCACGTAAGTCCCGTGGCTAATGCTGGGAGTTTAGCTCGTAACTCTGCCGAACCGTGTGACTATAAATACAAGTCGATTTAAATAACCGAGCTCCACCGGGTTTCTATAAATGCGCGTCGAAGGCTCGTGAAGATTTCATGATTTTGCAGATTCGTGATTCGTTTAAATATAAGACATCCTCGAATTACTTGAAAATTAATTAATAACGCAATTATTTTTTGATAAAATTACAAAAAGAGTTTTTCTCTTCAAGTTTATCTTCAAATAAATTTATAAGAGCATTGTTTTATTTATTTATTTGTACGTAGATTTTATACTATATAAATGTGAAGTGTATATTTATCTAATATAATTCAGAAAAAAATATCCATCTTGGATAAAAATTGTTGAAAAACATGATGTATATGTTCCATATGTTATGACATAATTTAAAAGAAAAATGGCAAGTACATTTTGAAAGATTTAACAGATACTGAAATTGGAAGATAAAAGATACTCGTAAGACTTAAATTTCAAGCAAAATTGTAGCATGATTATAAGAGAAAATCTTATGAATTGTGAAACGGCGCATACATCTTCATTTGCATATTATTGTGACCTATTGATTTAATAGAAGTAAAATTAAACTAACATAAACGTCTCTGCGCATTAAGATAAAATAAGACATTAAATCTTGCCGATCACAGTCGGAGATTGTATCGCGTAATCGCGTTAATTATCCACAGGGAGGAAGAAATTTCGGCCAGTCGACCTTACTACAATCCTGATACGACCTCGATTAAGGCGCCAGCTGGGCAGGGTTGCCCCCGTTGCGGTGGCATGGTGTTTGCCGCTGAACAACAGCTCGCCAAGGGCACCATGTGGCACAAGAAGTGCTTCAATTGCGCCGAGTGTCACCGACCCTTGGACTCCATGCTGGCATGCGACGGCCCCGACAAGGAGATCCATTGCCGCGCGTGCTACGGAAAGCTCTTCGGGCCCAAAGGCTTTGGATTCGGCCACAAACCGACTCTCGTCTCGACGGACACAGATCATGCTCCCTCATAGTAAGTGCATCTCAACCGACGCGACGGTTCCCGAGAGTAATTAGTTTCTGAAACACGGTGCGAAATACAATAGCGAAAAGTTTGTTATTAGGGAAACTTTGATGATTGATAGCGATCTTGATAATCGACCTACTTCTCTGATTAGAATTTTCCTTTAACACCCGAGTAATCGTGTGAGAAGTAAGTTATACGAATTATTAAACATAGTGCCATGATTTATGTGCAGAAACATTGGAACAAATTATTATTCTTTTCCAACAATAAGAATTGGTACATCAATGCAAGAAATCTAGAGAAAATTAGCTTATTGAGTCGTATAAAATTTTCCTGTTATTTTTTTTTCTATCTGTACTATTGACAATTTCGATTTAAAAAAAATGCGTTTGTTTGGAAATAATAATTGTATATAGGTCACCTATCATTTTTTGCCGAACCAGAGTTTTTCCCATCACTAATGAAGCATCAACGTCATCAGATTCTCAGACGTCCTTGCTTTCATTTTGTAGTATCGACGCTAAGCCCCAGGTCGGCCAGAAGCGAAACGACGGGCACGGTTGCTCGCGCTGCGGCTATCCGGTATACGCCGCCGAGCAGATGATCTCGAAGAATCGCGTCTGGCACAAGCGGTGCTTCAGCTGCGGCGAGTGTCACCGTTCCCTGGACTCGACGAACCTGAATGACGGCCCGGACGGAGATATCTACTGCCGCAGTTGCTACAATCGGCACTTTGGGCCCAAAGGCGTGGGCTTCGGAATGGGCGCGGGCACCCTCACGATGGCCTAAATTCGCAGGCCCCCTATCTCCCCCCTATCTCACACGCCGCTCGAGGAAAATCCTCGATCCAGTCTTATATATTAATGTAAATACATCTATATATAGAGGCGTCTGACTGTGTATCCGACGACAGACGAACGCGCTGCTCCGGGATTTTCGATTTTCTCCTATCCTATACGCTTACGACGATTCGATAATGTCGATGACTACATTTTCATTATCGCGAAACTGCACGCCGTAGTGGAGAATAATGGTGTCTGCTTGACTCTACGAGTCGACGAGGATCGACCGCGCGTATACGAATAAGCCAATGCAGGGGCTGTTGATAATGTTGCGATATGAAATCGCGCAATGAGTGTGACGGGATCGTATTACAGATAAATTTATTGTTGCAATAATAATAATGATTAATAATCTATTTACTTGTAATACGAACCAAGGCACAAATTTGTCGTTTTAATAATGGCATAGTAACTTTTTACACTCCGAAATGTGTATATAATGCTTCGATTCTAAAAAGATTAGAAAATGCGTTTAGAAATATGTATATAAAAAAACAGAATTTTTTATGCATCAATTAATAGGCTTACTTAATAAATACATTAATTTTTTTAAACACGTTTACTATAAAATTTTCTTTGTCTCAAATATCAGGTTTAAAGAGATCGACATTTGCCATTATTAAAATAATGCTTTATCCGATCGCAAATTATCGACAATATATGGATTTATTCTTGCAGTCAATTAGACCCATTTACCCTCAATCGTCACGACGGCTTGCACCGGTTGCTATGAAGATTTTACGAAGTCCGTAAACGTATTGTGCAAGAATTAAAACTAAAGTGCCCATTTCACTTGCTACAGATATATTCAACGATTCTACTACGTTTCATATACGATTTTCTTAGCAGCCTGAGCGATTCTTGATGACGACACTACGCGCGAACGACTATAATTTGATGACGAGCAATTACGAACGTACGAAACTTTCGTTATTTTCTTCTTCGTTTTCTTTTTATTCTTGATCAGGAAATAGGAGGAGATTACGACTCGACAATCGATCCGCGAGATGTCAGACTTAAAGTTTGTAAAAACACTGGCAAATTGAATATCTCTGAACTTATACCTATTTTGGCTTGAAATTGTTCAAATTTTTGTATTTTTTTTTTTATAAAAATGAAAAATTTTTGTAGATAATTTCTGCTCTCTATGTTTCTATTTATTTTGGTACTTGTTGATCAAAATTTTATTTAAAACTTAAGACCTCTTTTTTGCTTAGTCGATCCAAGCTAATTTGTTAAAATATTGACTTTTATCAGATTTGTCGAAATAAATAGAAATTAGGAGACTATTTCATACTTAAAAAAGCTCAAGAGATATTTTCGATATCTAAGTAAGAGAGTATTTCGGTTCGCTAATGACAAAAATTGCCAGAATGTTTCATGTCGCTGATATTGCTCACTGTTCAATATTTTCGATCGTTAGCATTGCTCAAGATTAAGCATGTTAAATAATGCTTTCTTCTCCCCCCCTTCTATTAGGCTTGCGAAACAGAATGCATCGTGGAAAATAAAGATGCGCAGCTTTTTAACTGTTTCGCATAACAGATCGAAATTATCAGTGCAGTACTGATGGCAAAAACTCTACCACGGACAAATACCGGTTTTGAATCGATTTTTAATTTCAGGGCAACGATTTTGATTATTTACAGCGTAATAATTAGACACATGACATCGATTGCAGCGGATATTCGCCGACGACATAAACGGATAAGTACGAATAAAAATCTATATAACCGGGCTACGACCAGCAGCAACGATGTAACCGACGACTAAGACGAGAAACTAATTTAATTATGATTTTCAATAAATGTGTACTTGAAATCTTCTGGACATTCTCCTTTACCCAAACGAAGTCAGTTTAATTTATATTAAAAAACAAATCATCATATCAGAAAAGATAGGCGGAAAGTAATGGAATAATATAATATCAACATTAAATATAGATAGTAAATTAAAATAGTAATATAGATGTTAGATGTTATATTGCCTAAAGGTGCCTGTAGGTAAATAGCATATCTAACGAAACTGTTATATGGGAATCACTGGAGTGATTTCAACGGAGAGAAGTGAGTATGAGTATGGTGTAAAACACTAATTTCATATATTTATAGCAACAACTGTACAAGTTCCGGTTCACACATATCGATAATTACCATTCGTTAATCTTAACAATAATGGCGGGAGCAACGAAGCTGTTCAGAGTTCACGAACGCTTCCTGGCATGCGGAGACGAGCCTTTCCCCTCTCGTTGCCGCGCCGCGCCGTCGCGTTATAATCGATAATGCGCGTCTTCCGCGGAGACGGGCGAAAGCGCGCGGCTCGCTACGCGCCAGTAATACGCAGTTTTGTAAAAGTGCCTCGTTAAAAAATCACATTCGTTATCGAACTGGGATATGGATTGCCTCGGGACACGATAGAAATTTTCGCACGCTATTGCCATTAACTTTCAGAGGACCTTACTCTGCAAAATATCGCTTTTTTTTTGCAGTGAGACTTGTAGAATTTTAACGACTAATGGCGATTTCTTGCTTGTTAAGCAGCGGACACCAATTTCTTCTGACCAATTAGCTGTTAATGTTAATACTTATAAATAAAAGTGTCATACTGGAATACAAATTATTACTTTTTATTTAAAAAATTGCAAAAGAAAAAATATAATGAGACAATTTCAAATGTGTCTAACTTGTAATAGTCACCATTATCAGTAATAGCACATTGTTATCGATATATAGTTGAGTAAGATATACTCAATCGCGCTGATCCTCTGAAAGTTAAGGCGGATTTAACGAGACTCACTGAAAGGAAAAAAATATTTTCAGGTGAACTATACGTACCTTTCGCGTCTTAACTAATGTACATTTATACATCTCACTATAAAATAGATTCAGTCGCAATCGATAAACTATACATACGCAGAATAAGGTGTGCTCGTTATCGGCGCACGATCAACGAGTCAGACCACTGCCGAAATTGTCCATCGTATATCGTGATAAGAACAGGTACCTTCGCTCTTCTTGGTACGAGACACACACAGGACGGTATGTAAGTATTTATTTTAAAAACTTCCTAAGAAGAAATTCGATCTGCGAATTAACGCCAATTAATTGTCTTGCGCTACAGCGATTCTTGATATAAGATTTTCCTTGTAGAATTTTGTACACTCTCTAAATTTACAACTTTTATCGAAATTGAAATTACGAGTAACAAATTACGATGCCATCGCTCCACAACACAAGTTTTATAACAAAATAGAATATATAGAATTGATATACATAAAATTAATAGTCAATTAAAATGGAAATCGCTTAGTTGGACTTTGGTTATTAATTTTCTATGTTCTTTTAGATTAATATGGATATTTTGAACATAAAATATAAAATATAAATAGAAAATATAAATATTTTTTAATTGAGTTATTTTTTAGTTAAATATAAATTCCCTGTCGGAAATACAATTTAACAATTGACGCAATGATATTATTCTCGTTGTCAGTATTTTTCTTCCTTGTGATTTAACAAAATAAATTCTTGTATCGAGAGTCCCTTTTTATTTCGACACCAAGCAAGATTTCGCTCTTTTTTCCCCTTTTTTATCTATTGATCGCTGCTCTTAATATTTAATTAAGTAAATATTCGACAGATCGCTGAAATCGCGTATTAAATCAGTGCGAAATATATTCGATATTTGCGTCAAGGATTTTATTGTGGAAGTATGTGTGTGTGTGTGTGTGTGTGTGTGTGTGTGTGTTTTGCTACTTGGTACACATAATAAATATTATAAGAGATTTTCGCAATATAGCCATAATTTTTAGTATTTAAATCAATCCCAATAATAAACTAATTGTAGGTCTGTTAAGTCCAGTGTAGTAGTCGCGCGATTAATAGTATTTTTATGGATACTATTCTATACGCTGTGTTTCTCGTGTGTTAATTCTAACTTGGCATGATTGGCGAAAAATAACGCGGATGGGAAGCATATACTGAAAACGAAAATTTAATGCTCCCCGAGGGTTAGAGCAAGACTCTAATAGCGTTTTCATCATTTCCGATAAAGCTATCTTTTTGCCGTATGATTATAACGAAATAAATAAAAAAATAGAAATGACGTAATATATTTAGAATACTTTAAAATTATTTTACATTAAATTAATGATTACAATATTTCTATTTAATACTCCGAATGAATCAGCTTCATTGAAAATTATAAGAATACTTCAAAATTATTTTACATTAAATTAATGATCACAATATTTCTGTTTAATACCCCAAATGGAGCGAGACTCTAATAGCGTTTTTATATTTTCATCATTTCCGATAAAGCTTATCTTTTTGCCTTATGATTATAACGAAATAAATATAAAAATAATAAATAAAAAAATAGCAATGACGTAATATATTTAGAATATTTCAAAATTATTATCATTAAATTAATGATTACAATATTTCTATTTAATACTCCGAATGAATCAGCTTCATTGAAAATTATTGGCTTATTAAATTCTCAAGAATATAATTTATTCAATTGAAATATAGAACATAATGATATAGAAATTTAAAAAAAATTTTAATTTAAAAGAACAATCTTTTATATCTAATTCTACGATTATAATGTCAAGTACTTGACATTATAATACATGTGTATTATATTTAGATTAATTTCATTGTTTTTTATCAAGTTGTAGTTTTAAAAAATATAGAATTATTTACATTTGCACGATTTGGATATATCAAGCGAGTCAATGTAAATTTGTATAATTCTGTTTCACTCTTTTTCCTCGGGAACATTAAAATTGACGTTTAAATAGTAAACGCTTATACGAACACTCTGATTATTCTCAATATCAACCGGAATGTGATTCTGATACGAGTTTAAATTATATTACTTTCAATTATTTTGGTCAGTCTCGATTTCAATAGAGATGGCTGAAAACAGTGTTTCCCAAGTGTTATGCCTTCCTTTAAAAATGTTTTCTTAAATAATGCAGCATATCTGTATCAACAAAAACAATATTTTACGTCATACAAATGTACGCTATACTCTCTCTCTCTCTCTCTCTCTCTCTCTCTCTCTTCTCTATCTACAATTACGTCAACGTGTAGATTAAAGCAACCGGAAAGAAATCAAGGAAACATATATTAGTCAAATGTTTCTACACTTATCACAGGAATGCTGAATAAAACACATATAGCACATGCTACAAAACTGCTCGAAATATTTCATGTTACGAGTTATTTCTCCACGCGGCTTCAAACTGAAGGGACAGATATCTGATTGACTTCTGAATCTCTGGACAATAATACCACAATCGAAATTCGCTAACAATAAGTTATATTCACCTCGGCTCCTGATTTCTCAATGATTGCAGGCATTTAACGCTCTCTGTCTCGTGCGTGCGCGTAGAAATTTCGGAATGTACCTCCATTGTCAGCAGACCTCGGACTCGGAGTAAGCTGACATACCTTCTGCCCGCGCGCCTGTCTTCCGACTGCCTAAATGTATTTTTTTTCTTTTGTCAAAAATATGAGCGGCGCGTCTTACCGGAGTCCTTAAAGATATCGCACATACGTGCGGATGGATTCGCCGACGAATTCGCGTGCCACGGGAAGCCGGGGGAAGCCCGGAAGAAAACCTGGACGCTCCCTGAATCTGAACGGCGGCGTGTCATCTCCGTGCTGTGACGAACGGGCGGCTCTCTGTATTTACACTCTCCGCCAGGCCGGTGACGGGGATGAGGAGGGAGGGAGGAGGGCGGGGGAGGACAGACGATTTAGTAAAGATTCGCGGTTTTCAGTGGCAGCGGGTCTAACAGGTAGGGCGGCAGGGCTGCCGAGAAGGGCCTGGGACTGCAGGAGCCCCAGGTGCCGCCGCCGCCCGCGCCGCTGTTACCCCGGACGTTGGGCGAGCCGTCGCCTGCGCCGTCCGTGTGCTTCACGTTCACCAGGCTCTGGTTGGTGATCGGCTTGATCTCGTTCGACGATAGCACGCTGTTCGAGCCGCCGGGCGGCGTCGCCGGACTCCTCGGCGAGCGTCCCTCAGCCTTCACGGTGCCGGCCACGGGACTGGACGCACCGCTGTCGGCCCCGATGCCGCTCTGCGACGTCGACTTCTGCTGGGCCAGCCTCTCCTGCTTGCGAAACTTCGCGCGCCGGTTTTGGAACCACACCTGCAACATTGACGCGATGGTCGACGGCGTTAAGTCTCGTCATTCATTCTTCCCTGACGATTTACACGGTGCAGTAACAATTAAATTCCCGAAATTAAATTTTTATAGCCCGATGCTATAAAAAAACACACAAAGAAGATTGAAAATATTTATTAATATCATTATTCAACATATAGTTCTGATCCGCTTTTGAATAACGTTTATATTGCTCATACGATGAATTGAATGCCTGCAGAGGAAACGCTTGTTCCCTAATCGACTTCAGTTGTCTCTGTTGGATCGATGACACATTCTCAAATCTCTTTCATTGCAATTTTTAATTTAGGAAACTAGACTACAAATATGACTATAATTCGAAAACCAAATGGGGCACATATGGTTATATGAACTTTTATCATCGCTTTGTGTCTTCTATCCATCAATGAAGTGGACTTCACATGTTAAGACACAATCTATACGTATATTGAATTTTCTATTATTGCAAATATTAAAGTCTTATTAAATTTTTTAAGATCTTAATAAATAACTTAATAAATATACGATTGTTTCATAAATTAGTTTATTAGAGAAAGGGATTGAATACACATGTTAAACTGATAAATGTAAAATTTTCATTATATTCATACTGTACAAATCAGTCTACATATACGATATAAATCATAATATATTTCAAGAACGTTAAATACAATATAATAAAAAGAATATCAAAGTAAGTACGATATAAAAACATAAAAATGATGAAGATCAGTTGGCATAGCCGAATACTGGTTTGAATGCATTTGGTATTTTGTAACGATTGTCAAGATTGGTATCAATTTGTTATCAATAAGTAATTGTTGAAAGTACTTATATAAAAGAGAGAATTATCGCGTACTATTAACATATGTAACAAATTGTGCAGAATTATATAATATATTCTTCTATTGGATATAAATGTATTAGTGCGCCATCAATTCTAATAATATCATATTTTGTATGAAACACGCTATTAACCTCTCTGTATCTACAAAGTTAATCTCTCTGATTTTCAAATTTCATTTTTTTATTACAATTTTCTCAAACTCTATGTGAAATGTCTTACAACAAGATAAACAATAGCCGATTTCAAAGGTCACAAATCTATTATATTATGACATATATAACTTTGATAATTATCAAAAACATTTAGATGTAGGAATTCTTTATACCATCGATAGTTGTAGATTATTGCATTACATATGGTATGTTGCATCTGTCCACATTATTTAAATACACGATCAATGTATATGATATTGAATTTATATTGTATGGAATTTTGCAAAAATATTCGCAATTATTATTTTATCTCTTATTTCTTATATTATAGAATTTTTTCTTCCTCACTTATTTTTAACGACATCGTTTTACCTAATCAATTTGGATTGAATTTTTTTTTAGCAAATCGAAAAAAATCATCAGTTATAGCAACATTTCAGTTTTTCACATCGCATGCTTTCATAGTTAAACGTTAAATTAATTGTAGGCTTAATTATGGAAGCTTCAAATTAAAAATTGTTTACCTAAACTTTAAATTAAATTATTTTTAAAAATAATAACTGGCTGTATATAGTGATCTTTCGAATCCTTGAAATTTCATTCGCGCATGTATGTTCTTTCGGTTCATTCAATCTCGAAAATTTATGGCCGCAACATTTAACAAAAAATGGTTTTCATCTAAAGATTAATAAAAATGACGCGTGAATAAAAGCAACAACAGGAAATAAAATTAGTAGCAACAAACCTATGCTTTAGTACTGCATTAGCTGATAATTCGACGAGGCTAGGTGGTACCGCATCTTCATTAACATAATGATCATATTTGGTAAGTAAAAATGGATTCATTAAAATATTTATAATTATATGGCTCAAATCAGTATAATGGATAGATTAGTGAATGGATCAGTGAATCGATCAGTACAATGGAATTCAATGGAAGGAGGCTTTTCGGTATATATAATAACTAGTTATGTGAGATGTCAAAAATTTCAAGATTTATAAATTTTCCATGTGTAAAGTAATACCATGTGTATGATAAAAGCTGCAACATGTTGTGATTAATCCTCAACTCTTCTAAAATATGTAGCTTCTCGATATATAATGGTAATTCTTTTAACTGAAAATGATGATAAATAATTAATAAAAATATTGACTAAATATTTCTTTTACAGAAAACAAAATCTCCTTTTTTAGTAAATATATCATGATACTTTTTAATTATGTGACTTAATAAATTATAACTTATATCTAAAAATAGCAAACTCTTTTGAATGGGTAATTGTTGCAGCCATTGCCATTTATATTGATCGGATGTTCCAAGACAATTATGTGACAGATCAAGCCGTTGAAGAAAGGATAAAGTACCAAAATCTTTCGGCAAGTTGGTGATTTTTGTTTAATAAATTCACATACGTTAAATTTTGGTAGTTTGTAAGGCTTTGAAGAAAGCTTCGAAGAAAATAAGTCATAATTTTTCAGATGATAAAATTCTGTCGATATTACATCTTCGAAGACATTTTTTTTTATTTGTCTTAGACCTAGATTGAGAAAAACTCTTTTAATTTGTATATAAACGATATATGTATATTGTCATAATATTAAATAAAAAATATTAAAATATTATTAATCTTGCAATATTTTTAAAAAGCTGTAATATGGTTTATTGCACAAAGATAGCTTCTCAATTAAATCATTTTTAATTACTTTTTATTATCATGAATCACTCGACTGTTATAATAGAATTATTTCAGTCTTATTGCTACTATAATAAATATTAATGAGAAATATTTTATGGATATTATGTGTTGTTATAGTAATCTGCTTAAATTAAATTGTAATCTTAAATTGTAAAAGATATTTGTTCAACTTTTCTTTCAAAAAAGAAAGTAAAAATTATATCAAATTATATAATCGCAGTTTATTTAAGTATGAAAATTTATAATAATAAATTAAAACGTTTAGTTTTTAATAAAAAGAAAAAGAATTCGTTACAAATTATCTTTGTATTATCTTATTTGTTTAGCAATACTTAAAAAAAAATCTTTATTCTTAAAGATAACTTTCAATTGATTGTTATATAATAAATTGCTTGTCACGAAAGTCAGCAACATTAATACTCTTGTAAATCTCAATATTACTGTAGAGTAATCACACTAGCGATTGAAATTGGATTGAGATTTGACTAATCAAAACAAAATTTACTGAACTTGATATTTGTTTTTCTTTTGATTGGTCAAATTCCAATCCAATCTCAATCTCGTTAGTGTGATTGCGGCTTTATATTGTTTATCGTTTTTATGATGAGATTTTAATTTTTATATCATCACTTTATGCGAAACACAGATTTTGTTTATTACAAAATCATAGAATTAATTTACAATATATAATTCGTACAGAGTAACGCTTGCTCGTGTTATTAAGCAGTGTGTGTCTCACGACGGAATGTGAAGAAAAAAGACGAATATCAGTAGACAAACAAGAAACGCAAAGATTCGGGGTCGACACAGTTAGTTGCACGAAATTCAAAGAAACTATCGTCAATATCGCAATATCGAATAATATCGACATGTATTGATCGCAACGATTACAATAACCCATCATATATTTTATTTCGATATTTTATTATATCAATACTGTATCAGAATCAAATGTGAGACAAAGAAGAACAACACTTTATAAACTTTGGAAAGAACACGCATGAAGTACACATTAAAAGATTAAAACATTAATGTTGTTCTTCGCGTGCCATACGCGTATAAGCGATCTTTTCTGCATATATCCATATGTCGGTTCCAAACAGGCTATTAGAAGAGACTTTTCTAGGCAGATTTACTCTCGATGATTTGCCTTCCGACTCGGAAGTTTCGAGAGATGGCAATTCGCTTCCAAAATCTAATAAAAAGACCGATTTAGAGTTATATTGTTCAGGATGGATTTAAACCTGAGTTTTTAGCGCAGAAAACGAAGAAAACCGATGCGCAGCTCTCACGCCACGATCATCTGCATTAATGTCATTACGCTTTCTGATCAAATTTCCTTTGAGATTTACGAATTGATTATTGCAAAATTATTAATTAAATACAACATAATCAATGCAATAATCGAATGTCGTATTTAAGATAAGAGAATTAAACATATCAGTAAAAATTCTGGAAGAAAAGAGGAAAGAAAATGTATTACAATTATAAAATTTTAATTGTAAATTTTACAATACTAGCACTACAGACGCGCGATATTTCTAATATTTTTTACTTTCTATTATAGTCGTTATTACACTATTAATCTGAATTGATTTTGACACACAATTGTCAAAATATGCAATGACAGTCGCTCCTGAAGTAAGCGCAGCGAGAGAACCAACCAATCACCGCAGAAAAGAAGCATCAAATACTTCGATATATACATATATGAAACTATCGATTTAACATGTCTAGAAAGAATAAAAAAGGTAGCTGACACTAAATCAGAATAGAGCCGACAGGCCAACATGGAGATTCCGTCAAAAACTCGAAGCAACTTAGAATTTTTGACAAAACGAGAGATTTTCTGCGGAATTTAATACGTTATATGAACGATGTAAATGTTGTTCGACAGCGGACGGAGACTACATTGAATGATAGAATTAATAAACATTTTCGATCTTTTTTTGTGTATTTCTTTATGACCTCAATCCGAAAATTTGTTGCACGGTGTATGTGTGCAATTTGTTAAAGTTACGAAATAATAGGGACACTCAAATTCATTATTGTGTATATTTTTTCGAGATATAGTTGTACTAATATTATATTTAGCCACTTAAATATTTTTTCTATGTTCATAACATACAGATAGGATTGTAAATATAATGTCAGTGAATCTTATAGCTAAATAATCGTTACAATGTAATTAGTTTTATGATATGAAACTTTTGTTAAAAATTTATGTAATGTATATCTTTATCTAATTGCAAGTATGTTAAATAGGCAAATTTAGGCAAGGTTGTAAAA